ATCTCAAACGTGGCATGACTTAGGAAAAAAAAATAGACTTTAGAGCCAGAGATAACGCCCCTGCAAAACTGATTTGGTAATATTGATCCAACTGCAGGTTTTTTCGTCAATTATTGACAAAAAAAAGAGAGAAAAGAAGATCCAACACTAAACCCACACCTCTCAAAATAAGACACTGCTCCCTCCCTCTGTGCGCTTCCAGAGCATTTAACCTCACACTTGGATCAGCAGTTGCTTTTCTTTCAGCGCAGTTTCCTCCCCTCTCCTTCCTCCTTCCTTCCTTCCTCCCTCCTTGACAACAGGCTATTATTATGCAGGGAATGCAAAGGGCTGTGAGGACAAAACTGTCCATCTCCTTGTGTATAATCGGGATCGACAGGTTCAATCATTCATTTTCTTTTGCACACTGTCAACTAGTTATTGGTGACCCTGCATGTGAGGTCGCTGCTGTGTGTTTCTATAAAATTCAGCACTCCTAATCTTGAAATGAGATGTTTGGAATGAACCACAGGGAGAAAAATGCCCAGAAAGGAGTCCAAAAACAACTTTTGAATGGACTAAAGGTCCGAGTTCTTGGCAGTGAGAAACTTTTTGTGTGTTTTCTTGCAGTTGTTTGTGTGTCTTTGTGGTCTTTGCATCTCCATGACGTCCTGTTATGGCTTTGGGGAACTGGTTTGTATTTCTGTGGTCATTTTGCATCTGTCTGCAAAAAGTTTGTGTCTCTTTTCATTTTACGCTCCTCTCTGCAGTCATTTGATTACATTGCATAGAGAACAAGCCCTTACTGTCTGAATCTAGTGAAGCAGGCAGAAACACAGGAGGGCAATGAAATTGTGCTTCTCCAAGATTCTTCATTTCAAACTATTTTCTAACTCCCGTCTTCACAAAGTACTGGTATTTTTTGCCAATATGTAACCACAACAAAATGATGCGCTGCTCCATGATGTTGATCTTGGAAGAGAATAACCTAAAGAGAGCTGATTTTCTCTGCATTGCTCACTGATGTTTAGCTGAGTGACGAGACTGGTTAAAAGAGGCTTTGCAGGAAGTCAAAAAGTGGCGAATCAGCTGTACTAAAAGACATTGGGGGAAAGGACTGTCTGCAAACACTTCTGGTAAGCAATTCATAAAAATTCCACGCAGGAAATAGAATGTTAATAGCTGGTAAAAGCAAGCTGTAAAACACCCCTTACAGTACAGGAACACAATTGCACCTGCACACGTAACAGGAATCATTACAGAAAAATGAGAATTGTTCTGTTGAGATTAGTGAAAGAAATTCTGAGATGTGTAATGTGCACATCACGTTTTATGAGACCGAGCAGATGGTTGGTGCAGAGTCCGCCTTTGTGCCCCGTTTGTTGCTCACAATTGTACCTTTGTGAGTGACTTAGGATCATAATGGCAAACACGAGCACTCCCAACAAGGAAATCGAGCCGGTCGTGAAAGTATAAAGTTTCAATTTGCCACATTGAAGCTGTCCGAAGAGGATCCCTTCATATTTAACAGTTTAATATCAAGCTGTTTCATAGTTCCTCGCTGCCAGGGAGCACTCTTCATTATCATACTGTCTGCACAGAAAGGCTGCTATGGAAAAAGACTCGAGGGATTCCCACTTCACTGGAGGTCCAACATTTTCAACCACAGATAGAATTTCATTTTGCACTTCCCATGAAACGTTTTCCCCTCTAATTTACAGTTTTTATTATCTTGAAGCCTACTTACTGAAAGTGATTTCCACAAATACGAATAGCCGTCTCTTTGAAAGTAAGTAGCAGAGTTACAGTCCCTGGTCATAAAGACGCTGTAATCTCCTTGTAATGTATAATACTGGGTAGCCAACAAGTGTCCTATGGAAGTGGCCAATTATTGATTTGTAAGAATATTGTTTAAAATAATATAAAGACTGAAACTAACCTGGTTTAAACCTTATTTCAGTTTTCCACTCTATGATTCAGATGCTTTTTGGGGTACTTGGATCCTCATTGTACTTTGTTTTGTTTGTACAACTGCACATCCCTCCATACATCTGGTATGGAAACATATTACATGTCCAAAAGAAAGCATTAGAAACGTTACGGAGCATCGCACGAGGCATACAAAATTAGGTGATCGCTTGCTTCACTGGTTGTTTACGCCAAGAGCTGGGATAAAACTCTGTGTTCTCTCAGATTGCTATTCACACAGTACCAACCATTAACCTGCATCATAGCTGTAGCCGAAATTACAGAGTGGAAAGAAAATAACTGTCATTTAATATCATCGCTCTGTCAAGCACTGGATGTTGAATTGTCACGTGGAGGCGTGCCGTGTGGTTTTATCTATAAGTGTTCGCAAAGGCATCCTGAAATGTAACATTCTCTGCCAAACTCTGTTAGCCATCTCTTTAGCTTTTTAGAGGCCAGACATTAATATCAAGGTTATGTTGCACACATCTAATGTCTGATCGTGTTTTAATAACCAGACAGTGGCCAGACGTGTCTAAATTCACGCTCACACACCAAATAAACATGAAACAGAGTGAAATTTACAAAAAAATAGTGCCAGTGTAAAAACACTGATACCAGGCAGTCATGTAGGGAGAAAAACACCTGCTCTTGGCCTCCTTTACTCGGTGCTCATAGGACAGACTCATCAGCAGAACTCAATCTTTATTATGAAGGGAGTTTGTGTTTTGCATGGCTACAGCACTATTGTGTTGCAGAAATCTATCCACAGATGGGGTTACCTTGTGTCCGAATGACACATGCAAAACACACAGGAATCAATAAGAGCCAAGTTGTCATTGCTGACAACCAGTGGACAGCAGAGGCGAAAGGTGAGAGGAACATTTCACTTATTAGCCTGGGTGGTATTTCAAGTAGATACATTCGGTCTCCTTGAATGTCAACCCACTTTTTAAATTTGTATTAGTTGGTTTAGTGATATTAACTTTTTTGCCATTTTTAAAAACATTTCATATTTTTGTCCATCATTTTTTGTTTGCTTGCTTTATTGATTACTTATATACAAAACCAAAGTGAGTTGCAGTAAAACAAGAGTCTGCAGACAAGCCAGCAGTTCTTTCACATCCAAATGCTACTATAGGCAAAAACACCTATATGCTAAGATGCAAGTTAGGATGCTCATCACAGTTTAGCATTTTAACTTCATTTGGGATGAATGTTGAGCACCTAAACCAGGTTCAACTGGACTGTTTTGCCTTTTACTACTTGCAAATTAGCTAAAAATATATTCTTAGCAAATAGCCCAACCTATTAAGATTGAAACATTTTCTGTTTTTAGTCATTTCCAAAGTTAAAAATAAATCAGAGAACATGTCAGACTTTTAATTTGTTAGAAAACAACTCGCTGTGCTGCCATTGTGTCAAGAGTTTCCTACTGAAAAAGAGCTTGGGGGTTTCTTTTCTCAGCTATAAGCCAAGTGTGGAGATGCTACGAGCTACATATTTCATTTTAAGCACGAATGATTATATTACTTGAATAAACCACCTCGGTATAATCAGAAAGCCCCTTCTCCCCTTGTGTAATAATGGGATACGTCTGTTTTGAGCAGGGCTTCAATCTGTGGTTTGGCCACATTTATAGAGTCAGCACATTCTACCCCAATACCTCGCTCCAATAGACGAAATTCCTCTGAAAGCATAAACTTTAAATGGAAAAATAGATATTTGCCCACTCACTCTTACAGACTGTTTAAGCCACGTTCTAGCACATTTCTCTCCCATTACAGTCGTGAGAATGCCAAAGCTCTGTGAGGGGAGACGCAAGAGAGCAGGAGGGATTGATCGGCTTTGGTTTGTCTGATGCATGGGTCCCCAACTGCAGGCCTCAAGGGCCAGTGTCCTGCAGTTTTTAGATGTGTCCCTGATCCAACACAGCTGATTCAAATGGCTAAATGACCTCCTCCACAATATATTGAAGTTCTCCAGAAGCCTGGTAATGAACTAATCACGTGATTCAGGTGTGTAGACCCAGGGTGAGATCTAAAACCTGCAGGACACCGGCCCTCGAGGCCTGGAGTTGGGGACCCCTGGTCTGATGCATGAATGACATGTCATCGGTATGTTTGTGTTTCAGTGTCCTCACAGGACAAGAAGGTTTGAACAAAGCTGTTTTTTTTCCTTTCTTGAAATCATTTAGACAAGAATATTGAGATGAAATCGCTCCATTAAATATAATCACAGTGTAATTATAGCTGGAGCCAGGAAACAGTGATAGGGAATCAACTAGTCTGTCCACACTATGTTAATTCTGGTTAAAGCCTGGCTTTCTGTTTGTCTTTGCTTCCAGTCTGATCTAGGGAGACAGTAGCAATGATTATACAATTTAACTCTAAGCCGAAAAGGTGATCTCAGTGTTTTTAACAGTTTAAAACTACACGGTAAAAACAAAGAGCATCATTTGTCAGCTCTAAGATTTTGCAAATGAGGGCATAAAAAACTGTCAAGGCTTTGAAATTGGGTAACTTCAACCTGAGGTGAACAAAGACGTTATTTTTCACGCTCTGCTTCATTTGGCTTGCTTTTTGTTTAATAAATAATGACATGGTGTAATTGATTGATCTGAGGGTGTACTTTCGTTTTACCTTGTCTGTGTTGTATCTAATGCGTGTACGCGCTCTTAATGAAAAGGAGCTTGTGATTGAAACCTTTTTAAATGATGATCACACCCAATAAATACAAGTTTAGGTTCAAAATAATTCACATGAATTAGGCAGTATTATAAGATACAGTACACTAGTTCCACTTTGTAACCTGGGTGGTTTTACACTGTTTATTTTGTGACGCAGCTGTTGGATCTACAGCACTGCTTAAATATCGCCATTACAGGCTTTGACTGTCACCCATATGCAATTTTACAGCTATGCTTAACTAAGCACTTGAGAGGAGTAAAATTAAGGGTTTCTGCAACTCCTGTTTTCTAATTTGTCGGCCCTTCACAGACATTCTCCTCTCTGCCACACCCTGCACCCACACTGATGGTCTTAACGTCCACAATGAACTTCAAGTCACCGCCCAGTCTGGCTGAAGGTACAAGACTTTCTTGATTTTAATTTAAATTAGTATAAACCTAAAAATGAAACCAATGACGAATAACACTGTTCCTTCTGTTTCAATCCACTAGGCTCCTGGTATTCATGTGGATGTCATTTTGACACATGCCACCCACCTAAACACTGCAAAGTAAGCACCCCACCCCATGAAAATGGCACTCCACCCAAAACAGCACAAAAATCCTGATTCCAAGATTCCCAGATCCCAGTACTGATCAGGCATTTGCAGTACACAGTGGAACACACCTAATGTCCATTGCCCCAACTGGTCTGAGCTGTTTTTGATTTCAGAAGAGGGTTTTCTGGTTGTTCTCATCCTTTCCTTAAAGCAAACATCAACTGAATCCCCCCGATTCAGGGAGTCTGACCATATGCTTAGCTCATACTCCCAAACCCACTTCTTTGCCCTTGTATGTTGTTTGTTCTATAAGTGTTCGCAAAGGCATCCTGAAATGTA